AAATAGGTTGTTTTGTCAAAGAAATAGCCAATGCAAATTATACCCAGGAATTCCAAGAGATCATAATATATTATAAAAGGAATTTTTTTTCGCTTGTGCTTTGTTGATACCTAAAAAGGCAAATGATTGTCATACATGTGATCAAAATGTTCTACCTGGGGGTGGGGAGTAAGTGCTACTATTAAAATGATATTAGCTAATATATGTCAGCGCCCTTACTGTCTTCACTTTTTTTCAAGCCAAGAGTAAACTTGTAACCAAATTGGATCAAAATCTTCAATACTTTATTTAATTCTTGTTTGGTTATTTCCTTATTTTTTTGCTTTTGTGTAGTTACTGCCTGTTTGGATCTTTCATTACTTTTTTCTTTATTTTCACAAATAACAAACTTATCCATTTTTGAATACTTTCAAAAGCTTTAATGTGAATGGAGCAAATAAAAAGATATCTTATATTTGAAAAAGTTTATCAGAAAAAAATAATGTGAAAAAAAAAAGTAATGATTTTTTACATAAGGATTTGTGAACTGGCATTAATATATATAATTTAATATTTTATTTGATCCAACTGAATCTTGTACATTAAGCCATAAATTTATAAAAAATTGAGATTGGATGGTACACATCTCTAAAATTATACTGTGCACAAATAAATTGTTATGCTCAAAGCACACATTCCACACATAGATTTTAGACACTGTATAGATATATTGTCTTTTATTTCTGTTAGTTTTTTTTTTTCCCATTACAACTTTGTTTATTTTCTTCTTTGGGATTTGAAAAATTAATATTTTTTCATGCATTACTTCAAATGATGTTTTATTTTAAGAATATTGTATTAGATCATCAATTATATGGTTCTTTAGATAAAAAAACATTGGATAATATATTAAAAATTAAAAATTATTTTTTTAATGATTACATATGAAGTTACATGTCTTATATGGGCAAAGCTTTTACTTTTTGACCATGTTATATGCTAAAATGGGTAAAGGGGAAAAAATGTTGCATGCTTAAAAGGGTAAACAATTTCAATATTTTTGGGTAAAGCTCTCTAGAATTTACTAATAGCCTGGATGTTACCTCAATTATAATAATCTAGTATTGCCAAAATTATTTAGCTTTGACTCGATTCCTAAAATCTCAGTTTTTAATTGTGTCTGACCCAATTATATGTTTTTCATGACTCAATAATTGTGTCAAAAAGTCACCTGATTGGGTCAAGTGATCAACCTATTTCTACATGTATATACAGGATCCTGGATAATTATAATAGAGTAGTAGAAAAACCTAACAGTAAATTTTGAAAACATTATCCATTTTCTTTACCCTATTTTTTCATATGACAAAAGAAAATTTATAATTTTTACCCACTTAAGAATATGACTTCATATAATAATCCAGGTAGAATCACTCTCATGAAGATATATGATAGTGCATCTAAATTAAAATCAAATTTTTCAAGATAAGCAAATAAATTCCAAATACAAGCTCAAGAAGTGTCTGATAAATATATGAAAATAACAAAAATATAGTCCAATGGTATAGAAATATTGATGACACACAGACTTATGTATTAAACACTGACACATGGTTACAATCAATTCTGACACAGAAATCCTAAACTGACACATGGGACTTCTCAAATGCCCAACACACATGGCTTCAAAAATGGCTAAAATAAAAATAAAAAATATATATATACATACCTATTCAGCTGAAATTTTGAGTAAAATTTTCACATATATATATTCCAATAAAAAAATTTATCCCTTATTTTATACTTTGTGAATCATTTCTAAAATTATACTAATCATTACCAAAATCCCTACACGAAGATGATGACATTTGTATAACCTACCTACCAATTGATAGATGAAAATGATAAAGTCCGTAATTAAAACCATCTTATACATTGAAAAGCCTTTTAAATTTTCTTATCATTGCCACAATCATCATCCAAGACATCATTTAACATATTTTGCGTCTATAAAGCAATTTAATAAAGTATCATCATCATCATTGTCATCAATTATTGAAGAAAAAAACAATAATGATTCAAATACAACAACTTCAACAGCAACAAATAATAATCCTAGTAATAATAAAACATTGAAACGATCACCAATAAAAATCATTGGTGTTAAAGAGCCACCAAATTTGGTGCTTGAAGAAACAAAAACTCAAAAAAAAACTTTGCTGGAAGGACTAAAATATAGATTTACAAAAGAAGGAAATCTTGAAAAAAGAAATGAATTGTATGCTTAATAGATAATAATAACAACAACAACAATAATGATATGATTATTTTAGAGAGATTAATTTTATTTTTTAAATAAATTTGTAGAATCAAAGAATATAAAACTTCATTTTTTAAAGATTTCCATCAATTAAGAACAGAAGGTATTAAATTATGGGAAGCTAGTACAGAAATTAATAAATCAGAGGTAAATTATACATGATAGAATAATAAATTAATACAAGAATCCTAAATGATTTTCTAATTTTTAAAAAAAGGATGCGTTGTATATGCCAAATATCAAAACAAGATCATTGTCAACTTCACAGGTCAACACTACAGAGTTATTAAAAGGTCACACTTCTATGGTTGTCATGTATTTTAATAGATTTGGACAGGTACACACACAAACAATCAGACTGATATGTATATTTAAATATGTAAATGTTTATGTTTATTTATATATGTTTATTTTATTTAGGATCAATCAAAAAGTTTCATTAAACCATTCCTTGAAACGTTTTCAAATAACTCCAAAATACAGTATATTGAGGTAATAAAAATCTTTGTTTTTATTAGATTTTTGCTTTTTAAAAAAAAAGTTATTTTATTAAACAAATGGTTTATATATTTTATAAAATAATGAAGGACAGATGAACATTGAAACAAATATTCTTAAATCATTGATTCTCAAATTATTTATTCCATCAATTCGCAGCCAATATCCAAAATCACATCATGTATGTATCTTAATTTTATTAATATGTTTATTATCATTACTATAGGAAAAAATCAATCAAATTAATTTTTTCCAAAAAAAAATTTTTCAAGAATAATTATATTTTTGTTTTCCGTAATGATCAATCATTATTTGAAGCATTGGAGATAAATAATATATCAAGAGGATATATTTTTTTGGTAGATAAAAATTGTAAGATCAGATGGTCTGCACATGGTTTTGCAACTGTTTCGGAAATTGAAACCATGAAAAAATTAATAAAAAATCTAGATGAAAATAACAAATAAAAATGTAAGAGAATAATTTTAATTTTAATTTTAATGTGAAATAAATAAGTTATTTTATTTTATTTTCTTTAATTTAGCAATAAAAAAACCAATAGTTTTTCCACCAATATCATTACAATCATCTTCTTCATTCATCTTCATACTTGTACTAGGATCAAATCTTTGTACCATCATTCTTTGCTCATCACTTAAACCAGCATTCAAAAGGCCTGGTTTACCCAATTTTATTTCAGGTTCTAATAAAATTAAATTTCCTTTAAAGGTTTGTAATGCCCATGATACAATTTTTTCATTTTCAGATGGATTTATCTATTATGTTCAAGAGATGAAAAATATTTATGTTAAAATAAAAAAAATTTATTTTTATTAACGCACACATATATATACCGTGCAAGTTGAATATATTAATGTTCCACCAGGTTTTAAGAGTGAAAAAGCTGATTCAAATAATTTTTTTTGATAAGCAGGTTGTGTATCTACTAAAGTTGATAATTTTATATGATTAACAGAAAAACTTGGTCTTTGTCCTATTTATATACAAAATATATAATAAATGTTATTATTATTATTTGAAAAAAAGAAAGGTGTATATATATATATATTTATATTTACCAAGATTAGTACAAGGAGGATCCAACAAAATATGGTCAAAACTTTCTGGAGGGAATCCTTTAATCTTATTATTATTATTATTATTATTATTATCATCATCATCATTGCCACTCAACTCCATCATCAACAACTTTTCAAAACTAAATTCATCAATATCTTTTTGTTGACAAAGTACTGCTTTTGTGCCATCTAAGCAAAAACACTTTACAAGATTTTCTTTGACTTTACAATCTTTACAATTTTTTCTAATTTTTTCTAATTTTTTTTCTGACCTATCAATTGCTATAATTAAAGCATCCCTTTGTTCTTCTTTTTGATTATCATTATTACCATAGTTGTTGGAGAAAAGATTTGCTATATGAGTTGTTTTGCCACCTGGTGATGCACACATATCTAATACACGTTGATTTGGTTTTAGATTTAATAAATGTCCAGTTAAAATACTTGGTAGATTTTGTAGAAAAATTAAGGATTTTAAATTTGATAATGATGGTGTACAATAGATTGGTTGTGTCATTAGTACACCTATTCCTGATACCAATGATGGATCAGTTTGAAATATTTGATCCCGACTCTATACACATGTTAAATTTTTATTAATAAATTTTTAATGATATAGATAAATGTATAGATGGATGGATGGATGAATGACAAACCAAAATCATCTTTCCATTTCCAACAAATAATTTTCTACCAGTAAAATTTTTTAAATATCCTCTTAAGCATTTACCATCTAAATCAACCTTATAACAACAATTATATAAAATAATGTTATATAAAAAATAATATAATTCTTTTTTCCATCCAAAAATAAAATTATTTATTTACCATTATAGCAACATCTTCATTAGCTTCCACTTTGAATGTTTAAATTTTTTTATTATTAATTTATTTGCCTAAAAATTTTATTAATTGATTGAAATTAACATCTTTACCATTCTGAGCTGCTAAAACTCCTGGCTTATACATAAATTTTTTTTAATTAGTATTATACATATACATAAATATATACATAAATGTATACATACTACACACACATATAAAATAAAACTCACTGCAAAAACATCAGCACCACGAAGAATTGAAACACCAGTATGAACATCAACAATAACTTCTTTTTTAAAAGGTTTGATATTATCAAAAGGCCCTCTAACTGGAACACATAAAACATCAGGAAGAATTGAATGTTTTTTGATTTTCATATTTGACCAATTCTTTTTTTTACATTGCTTTAATTTTTTTTTAGAAAATGTACAATAGATATTATTATTACTACTATTAAAAATTACATGTAAGGCAATTTCTTCCTTACCTCATCAACTATATCTTGAATAATTTTTTGTATTTTATCTATTGAACTTTGATTTATTACACGAAAATAAGTCATACAAGGTGGTATAGCTAAAGCAGAACATATATCATTCCATTGTTGATTTTCATTTTCATCAATTTTTTCATTATTATTATTATAATTGTAATAATTTAGAAAATAATTGTTTATTTCTTCTGAAAATTTCACTGGTTTTAATTCATTGGCGCTCAAATGTTCTTGTAAATTATTTTGAGCATAATCTAAAATCATAGTATAATTTTCAAGATTAGGATCTTTCTTGTGTTAAATCAGGATAGCTCAAAACATTGTCATGACAATGATGAACCCATAATTTTCCCAAAATAAAAATTATATATATATATAGATAAATCTACATAATTTTTATTTTTCTTCTTTGTACTCTGGAAACTGATTATTGTAAGTGGATAAAGTTATAATATATATATATACATTATTTCCTTGTTTTGTTCACTTCTACACAGATTTCCTCGATTAATAAAAAGAAGTATGGCTCATTAGCTGGAATTTTCTGATTTAATGTTATTGTTAATTTGACTGAAAGTTTCCTACCAATGAGTCAACATTTCTCCTCCTTGCCCCCTTTATTTATTATTATTTACCTCGTGGGTCATTTTTTTTCGTATAAACAAATAAATAAACAAAAAACATCGTGGTAGATTGATTAAATTAAAAAGAAGAAAAAATTTTTTTTTAATTTCATTAAATATATTACAAAAGAATAATAGTATTATAGTTGTATATTTCTATTACATCTAAAACCCATTAACAAACTAAAATACAAATAAAATACAAAAATAATAAATAAAAATTGATCAATGGTCCATTCATCTCTATAATCACATATATATATAATATCATATGCTATTATTATTATTGTGATTATTACTAGGTTCAGCTTTTAGGGATAATGCCATTAATTCTGCTTCTAATTCTGCGCCATCCGATAACGCAATAGAGGCCAAATTACCACTAAATATTGAACCAGCAACAGCATACATACGCCTTTCTATCACTTCACCTATATGATCTAACGGTGCAACCACATTATTATTACTACTATTACTATTTGAACGATGATGATGATGATGATGATTGTGAGATATTGTAGTATTATTGTTGTTACAGTTGCAGTTCGTGATAAATTGTGGTAAACGTGATAATTGATTTGAAAAAGAATAAATTTCCAATGTAGAATTTATTATTTTATAAACATTCTTTACCAGTAATCTAAATTTTTCAAAATTTATTAACTGTGTTGTTGTTGATGATGATACGGTATTTAATGACGCATTTGAAGAAGATAACTTGAGTTCTTGGGTTTCTGATTGATGCTCTTTCGTTGGCGTTGATAAATTTGATGGATTTCGTAATTTTACTTCTCGTTGATGACCAAGTGGTAAATAGGTGGGATTACCTTCCATAATAAATGTTAAATCTTTTAAAAATGTGGCGAAAAATGGCACAACAGGAGACCTATTATTGTTGGCATTTGTTAAAGCTTTTCGATAATTTTTCATATTTCCAGATGTATCAATTAATTCTTCGATATTTTGTAAATTCAAAATATCCTGATTTGACAATGATTCCCATGTTTTCTCTAGTCGGCGAACTGGTCGTGAATTTAATGCTAGCGCTATAAACATTGCTGTATGAAAATTGCTCCATTCTCTACAATACTGTTTGTTTATATTGGCGAATTAGAATATAATTAACAAAAGTTTTTTTAAAAATAAAAATAGATAATGATGATATATACTAACCCTTGCTGCCTCAATGAATTTATGTAAAAGTAACTTTCTTGCTTTTACAGATTTTAAGCTACAAATTTCATGAGCTATCCAATGACTTAACTAAATATTAATTAATAATTAATTATAAATATATATATATATAAATATCAACTTTTTCAAAAAAAAAAAAGTTTATTATTTTACCATGTTAGATCTTCTCGTAAAAGCATCCAATTGACTTTCATATGTTTTTAAATTTACACCACCATTGTTATCAACACTCGAATTGTCACTAGTACACGAATTGCTACTACTACCGCCACTTTCAAACGTTTGACGTTTTTTCCACCAAATAGTAATGAAATCAAAGAATGTAATAGATTTCAAAGCACAATAATCCATCAATGTTAAATATTTTGCTATAGATTTAGGTTCAAATTCTAATAATGGTGAGGAATCATTCAATGTTGGAATCTGCAGTGGGATTGGAATTGAACAATTTGATGATTTTTTTGTTAAAGGTGATGATGGTATTGTAGTAGTAGACGTTGATGATGTTAATGATGAGGACGTTGATAATGAGGACGTTGATAATAAGGACGATGATAAAGAAGAAGAAGGTTCTGATTGCTGCTGCTGCTGTTGTTGTTGTAGCATCAGAGATGATGATTGTGGATTAAATGATGATGACATTGATAGATTAGAATAACGTTTTGAAAAAAGATTTCTTTGAACTTGTCGTGATTTTTCCATTTCTAAAGCACTTTGAATATATTCAATTTCTTCATGAAATCCACAACTAATATTATTTGTTGTGGTGGTAGTTGAAGTAATTGAAGTAGTAGTTATTGTCTTCATCACATTATCTTTTAAAAAATTCATTAATCGCTCGTATAATTTATAGTCAATAAGAAAATCCTGTGGTTGGATTGCTACCCATCGTTCAAATACAATCAAAACTCTAACAAGTAGTATAAAATAGGTGAATAGATAAATAAATAAATATAATTATTTGATAAAATGAAAAATGAAAAATGCATACTTTTTTTGAATTAATGGGTTTTTATTTTCTGTGATAAATCGAGCTATCATACTCTCAAGAAAATCTTCTGAAGTGATAAAAAACACATGGCTTAAAACAAAACAATCAATAAATTCGTTATCTAAAATTTATAAAGAGAAGAAGAAAATGTTATTTTTAAAAATCATAACCATGATAATATTAATAGTTATATAATATACCTTGTTCATATTCATCAGCCAATCTTAATAACATTTTCTCAAGGGTACCTGCAAGAACTCGAGGACTATATAAAATCATAATTATCATACAAACAAATATTTAATAAGATATATTTGCCAATTTGTTAATTTATCACAACAATTATCTCATAGCTTTTACCTTCCATCTACCAACTCAATAACCAATCCATCTTGTGACAATTCGTAAATTTCTTTAGTTTTTAATGATTCAGGCAAAGGTTTGGATGGTTCATCTAAGCTATTTTGATTGTTACAATACTCATTATTAACATTTGAAGGAGATGTTCCCTATTATTACGGTTTCCCATATCAAAAAAAAAAAAAAAAAGATAAAAAAAAGATAAAAAAAATAATAAATAAATTATTTATAATGATAATAATAATAATAATGATAATAATAATAATATTTTATTAGTAATTACCTCATTAGGACGTGTAAATACATTAGAAAATTTGATTAATGTGTTTATACTTGGTTTCTTTTTAATATTACTATTTGAGCTTTTTTTTATAACTATTTTACGAAACAATTGTTCTCTAAGATTATTATTAGCACCGTCATTATCGTTATCATTGTCATTGTTGCCATTGTTACCATTACCACCATTAGTACCACTACTATTGTTATTATTAAAATGATGATGATGATGAATGTTTTCAACGATGATATTATTGATATCATCTTTTCCAGTAAGATTATCAGTGTCTGCATTTGTTGTATATACTGAACAGTTTCTACTACAAACTTTTTCATTATTATTACTACCATTATCATTGTTACCACCATTGTTATTACCATTATTTTGTTGATTATGATGTTCTTGTTGATGGTGATGATTACGATGATTATGATTGTGATTATGATTATGATTATGGTTATAGTTATAGTCATAGTTATGATTATGACTTTGACTACGATTATATTTTTCTGTTAAAAGCCTTTCTAAATTTCTTAAATCTGATTCACTATTCATTTTATTAAGTTTAGATCTTTTAGTTTTAGCATTTTTACCGCCATTATGATTGCTATTACCCCCAGTATTATTGTTACCGCTAATACCACTTATAACACCATTTAAAACAGAACCTTTAAATAATGAACGACCCGAGAACTTATTACTTGAAGAACTATTATTGTTACCATTACCACTACTATTATTGATATTAAAATTTGGTATAGATGGGGAAGAAGGTGAATCGAATACCATCGGATTTTCTGTCACAGGCCAATAATTTAATGAATCATATTTTGATGTTTTTAATGTTTTTGAAGAGGAATTATTAGATGAGGGAGAGATTCCGGATGAATAAATATGTTTCATGAAATAAGATTTTATATTACTATGTGAAGAACGTCTTGGTCTTGGTGATGAATTGTTATTGGTGTTATTGGCGTAGTTTGAAGTATTTTGTCTCGAAGATTTTTTGTTAATAGTAATATTATTATTACTATTGTAATTGGTGGCTGTGGTATTAGGATTCGCGTTTGCTTCTGCAATAGTTCTTGGACTTGAAGTGAAGTGATTATAATGGTTTTCATCTTTACTTAAAACATTTAAATTTTCTCTGCTATATTTTTTTGAACTTGTTAATGACAATGAAGATTTAGAAGGTCTATTATTAATCGTGTAGAATGTATGCTGATTATTATAATAACTATTACGGTGATTATGATTATAGTTGTGATTATGATTATTATAATTATGATGATAATAATGATGATGATGATGATGATGGTGTCGTTCAGTAATTGGCAATGAATGTGTTAAGAGGCTAGTAGTGGTGGTAATGGAAGTAGCATGAATATTGTCAGTATTAATCGTAGCATCAACATCTGATGGTATAAGACGATTACTTGGAGAAGATCTTTGACGATGCAGATTTTGATTATGATCTAGATCTTGATTATGAATTTGTAGTTTATTATTATAGCCATCATTATTGTTGTTGTTATTGTTGTTGTTTTTCCAACTATTTAAAGCGTTAACGTCTTTTTCTATGATCCCTGATAATAAATTAACAGGCATTCTGGGTAAATTTGTATCTTCCAAAAAATGTTCTTTAAATTTTGAAGAATTTTGGTGTTTAAGATGACCGTTAACATTATTTGATAAAGATGGCGATAACAATGATGGTTCATCTTCGTGTATATTAAGCAAGTTTGTAGTTACTAATGTTAACGGTGGCGGTAAAGTAGAGGCATTATGTAAATGATTATTACGATCGTTGTTGATGCTGGTGTTGGTTGAAAATAATTCGTAAGAGCCTGATAATGGTGAAATTGGTTCTGTGTCAATATTATTATTGCTATCATTATTATCATCATTAATGTTGTTGTTGTTGTTGTTGTTGTTGTTGTTAAGTTTTGGTAAATGAGGTTTACGATTTGGTATCGGGTTGTGATGATGAAGATTGTGATAACGATGAAGAAGAATATTCTGACTATGATTATTTCCAGTAAATACGAGTTTTTTTGATCTAGCTGTTGTAGTTGAATACAATGCAGCAGGCATTGTAACAGCAGACGAAATTGAAAAATTAGAAGTTGCGTTAGATTTATTTGAACCTATACTGCCAGCTCTCTATTATCATTTAACAAAAATAAAGTAATGAATATTTTTACGCTCACATATATTTTTGTATATTAATAATAAACACATTTAACAGCAAAAAAAAAGTCATTTTTACCGATCTAAAACCACCAGATTTTGGAATATTGTTTGAGAAAGAGTGTACAGGTGGAAAAGATGATTGTCCAAATTCGGAAATAGAAGTTGCCGTACTATTACTTCTACTATTACGGACATATTTTTGGTTATCTTTTCTTGCATTCCTATCACCACCTTTATAATTCCTACTATTTTCTTCACCATTTTCGTAATGATATGATGATCTATCTGAAGTGGTAAACACAGATTTTATCGGAATTGTAGAACGTCTTTTTAATGATGATAGACTATTCATGACTTTCTTACGAACTAAGGAAAAGAAGATGTAGGTTTAGAATATTGGTAAGAAGATTAAATTATTTGAACTTGAGCATCAAATAATAAAACCATTAATTATAAATTGTAGGAACACTTACAACTATTCTTTTTCCTATGATAATAAGAATAATAATCATAGTAGTACAATAAAATAAAGGATAAAGGGCGTGGGTGTGATGAGTGAAAATTCGCGTAAATCAAAGCAAAGATAATAAAAAAAGTAAATTCAAACTAACTTTTTAAATGGATGATCTTCGCAGATACTACCTTCGATTAAGGATGATGATGGTGATTGTTCCTCGATATTGTTTATATTAAGTTCTATTGCTATATTAATACATATAAATATAATTAATGATATGTAATTTTTTTTCTTTTAAATCAAAAAAATTAAATAATAAGCTTGCTTACGTTCTTCATATATAATTGGAAGATGTAACAGAACAAAATTTACAAAAGAAGTTAACGATTCAACCAAAAGGCTTGTATGAGAAACCAACTCTTCATAAACCATCTAAATTAATTAATAAAAGAATTGTTAATTGAATAATAATAATAATAATAATAATTAAATTAAATTAAATACCCTTTATAATAAAAAATTTATAATTTATAATTTATTAATTAATTTATTTACCTGGCCATAGGCAATGAATTCATTCACTTTTCCTTGAGCAGTGATAATTCTAATTTGTTTTAATACATGATCAGATTCTTCATTAACTTTGACATTCAACTCGTTATAAGCATCCAAAGTTGCCGAATCATCAAATGCACTTATCAAAGTTTGACTATGTTTTGATAATAAAGTTCTAATTGTATTTGTTAAAAGTGACGAGGCATCTATAAGCTTTATTAGAGAAGAACTTTTTGTAGGATTTATTGATTGGGCTGAAACAAATGATGAATTTGAAGTTCTGGATGACGAATGACTTTGACGTTTTGCATATTGACTACCACCGCCATATCTAGATCTACCATTATTGTTGGTACCCTTATTGGAATATTCATCCATAGAGTTGCTAATATCAGTTGTAGTATTTGGGTTTAGATGTTGATTATCGTCATCTTGTTCTTCTTTGGTATTATTAATGTTGTCGTCATTTTGTAAAATTGAAGCAGGTCTTGAAAAACTTTTTGTTGTGTCGTTATCTTCCGATATTTGATTATTATTATTATTATTATGATTATGGTTATCATCATCACTATAATCATCATCATCATTATTATCATCGTAATAAAGACTATTATTATCATCGTCCACTTCCTGTTCGTAATAATAATAATCATCACTGTTAAACTTGGGTGGGTTAACAAGCAATAAGGGTGGAGCTAATATTAAAATTGAAAGTAAAGCAGCTTCCAAAGTTATAAATTGATTCTAAAATAAAGTGTGGATAGACAATGTATACAAATAAATATGTGCAAGTGATACGATCACGTGATCATATGATTAAATATAACGCAAATTGCTTACCTGCCATTCACCATTTTCTAATTTTTGATCGAAAACATAAGATTTTTCATTTCGTTGCAATAATTTAAGTTTATCCAATATTGCCTTAACATTTTCAGGCAGTTGAAGATAAAGTAATTCGCTCGCGTCATTTAATTGCTGTAAAATGTCCAATTCGTTTGTTCTCTTTGAAAATCTTCTATTGGCGTTATCACAATCGAAGTTACCATTAATATTATTAGCATTCGCATAATAATTATTATTACTGGTAATTGTTGTATTAGTGGTGGCAGTTATAGTACTAGAACTATTATTAGCGGTATTTGTTGCAGTATTTGTGGCGGAGGTAGCAATAGATATTGATTTTACGTGTTGTTTTGATAAATTTGAATTTATTGATTCTTGATTCAAATAATCGTTGAATTCTTGATCATTAACATTATGAATGTTATTACTATTGTTGTTGTTGTTGTTTGTATCGAAATCATCATTAAAGCTGTTGTTGCTGCTATTATTATTATCATTATTATTATTATTATTATTGCCGTTACTTCCAAATATCATTTTCTTTACTTCCCATACCATCTTTAATTTTTAAATAAGGATGAAAATTTTAAATTTTTTTTATTTTTAATTAATATAATAATAATATTTTGTAGGCGCAGTTATTTATTTAATATTTTTTTATAAATAAATTTTGATCAAGGAAAAATAGTTTTATTTTTAAAAATTTTGATGGTGATGACGATATACGATGATGGTTGTATGTGATAGGCCCTATTCTTTAATTAGTTTGGTCTAATTATCTGACAATTGATCAAATTTTGAACAGTTTTATATTTTGTCGATGATTTAAAAGTTAATCCAAGAATTAATATCTAGAATTTTAATTTTGTGATAGAGAGAGAGTGAGAGAGAGTGAGAGGAGAAATTTGTCGTGAAATATTAAAGTAAAAGAATGTGTGAATAATATATAAATTTTGTAAAAATACAGAGTAAAATAGAAAAATATTTTATTGGCAAGTTGTTATAATTGATTGGAAATTTTTTTAAAGATACAAAAAAAAAATAATTCATAAAAATTTTATTTTTTCAAAAAATAATTTAAATCAACAACAAAAGATGATATTAAAAATACGTATTTATTGTATTTATATATATATTATACCCTGGTAAATTTTTATTATTGTATTTGTTGTTTAGGAGGTGAAAAAAGATTTTTAAGGAGATTAACAAAATATTAATCGAAGTTTATTGATAACGTTGGTAGCAAAAATTTGAAAATATGGATGAATTTTTTCATAGTGCACAATTGCAGATCTTCAATAATCATATGCTAATACAAATATAGCCAAGAACTTGAATTATTTGACATATCCCATCATGATAAACCATGAGTTACATTGTTCTTTTCACGAAGGCCAATTTCTCTCAATTTACAATTATTACAATTATTAATTATAATTATTCCTCCTCCTGGTCCTTTATCGTTGTTAAAATTATCATTATTCTTTCTATATAATTTTATGATTTCTTTATTTTTATTATTATTATTATTATTACTACTACTATCACTATTATTAACAGTGAGAGTGAGTGATATACAATTATCATTAATTTTGTTGGTAGAGTTTATATACTATCATTATTATCATTGCATTATTATTATTTCAACCATCTTTACTAATATCATTGTTATTGTTGCTATTACTAATATATTACTACTTACTACTACTCTATTACTGCTATCTTTATTTCGAACTACCATCATTTATAAATAATAATATTATCACTGCTGCTGCCATCAATAATAATGTAATTGCTATTAAGAAGCAACTAAGTTTGTAATAAAATGTGCCATTAGACCTTTTTAACACTACTAGTTGGCAGAATTTAAAAAACAAATTTGTGATTATTCACATATTGACGATTTTATCACCATTCAGCTGATATATCACAAAAATAATTGCAATGTTTTTTTTTCCAAATTAGAAAATGAAAATTGGTTTGTTTGATTTTGGAGGAGTTGATTTTTTTTGATTTTGTGGGAATAAAAAAAAGGTATTGTAAAAAGGATCATAATTTAAAGGATTATTTATATTGACTAACACCATTTTAGTAATTAGTAGTATAAAAGCAAGGGAGGCTTTTGATGTTGATCCTGATTAGTTGGGATTATTTGTTTGTTGTTTTTCGATTTTCTCACATTCTTTTAATTATTTTAATTTATTTTCTAGGAGTAATTTTAAATTTAAAATTTATTGATGGAGTTTCGTTGACTTATTTGACTAGTTGGAATATGTTTTTAAAATTATGCATTTAACTTTGGCACCAATATTTATAACACATCGAATAATTTGATTTGATTGGAAACTTATTATATGTATGTTGTTATTATTTATAATATCATCCATCACCATCACATTTATAATAGTATCATCCATCACATTTTACCATCACACCATCTCATCCATTATGTATTATTGACATCCATTGTTATGGTGATCAATCAATTCAATTAACCACTAAAAACTAAAAAAAAAATATTTCGAAACCAACATTAATTATTTTATTATTTATTAATTAAATTATTATTAATTAATTTTAATTAATTAATATTATTCTAAATTATTATTTTCGAGGGCATACATAGGCTAGAAATAAAAATAATAATAATAATAATAATAATAATAATAATAATAATAATAACATAATAATAGTGTGTGTGATATATCACAAATAAAATAATACTATTAATATAACTGTTTGTTTTAAGAAAAAAATTTTTTTTTGTTTGTTAATTTGAGATGTTTACACTCATACATTCATACACACATACACATTTACCTTTACTTAAATAATGAAATAAATGAGAAAAGTTTAAATATTACTAACTAGATTTGCTTTGTGATCGTAAGACCTTTGTCACTCAAATAAACATTTCTTTATTCGGCTTTCGTCAGTTGTTCGTCATAGTTAAATTTCTTCATCCATATACTTCATATACGCCGCCGATAAATATTAGTTTTTTTGAAAATCATATAAACAATGTCAAATATTGTTTAAATGAATTAATTACCTACCTTCCTTTATTATCTTTTCCTCTTTTCTTCTCACCACTAATCATGTTATTATTACTACTATCATCATCCATCACTAATAAATTTAAATCTAAAAATCAACCATCATATATATATATATATATATATATTAATAATATACAGTACAATGTATGATGATTTCTCTATTACCATTTTACTTGTGTCACACACAACCAACTTCATAAACAGGGATGAACCCGTCCCGTAACTCAATAATTCGCTTGGTCACAACAAAACCAGTCAAGTGAACATGATTTATGTCAAGGAATTTCAGGAATCAAAATTTTAGTAACTGGTTAAACAAGTACGTTATATTTATTAAACTCATATCGAACTTGTTATCATCCTTTTTTTCTAATCAGGTGGCATTTTCTTAAATGCAGTTTACTCGGGTTTTAATTAATTATTCCTTCTCCTTCCTTTATTTAATTGCCTTATTTCCTCTTCCGTTTCTTTCTTCTTATTATTATTATTAACAAATAATAAAGCACAACATGATCCATTATCGCAAACTGAATCAACTCTCTTCTCCGTTTTTACTTGTTGTTCTTTTTAATACACTCCTGGACTCCACAATTTAACTTATCGCAAAAATTTGGTCAAATTAGGAGCAATTTGACGCGATAGATAATCCGGACAATATTTTACCTATTACTATTATTTTATGTTAAGATTAAACACGGCGGTTTTGTCCTATTGATGTATATATAAATAATTAACATTTTATGCAACTACACATGGAAGATTATTATGTCACCTAAATGATTGTCACATTGCATGCATATTAATATCCTATTCAGGGTCCAATTAGACTATACAATCCGGCAAAATTTTCCACAAACAGGCTGGAAGTGTAAAGGGGGGTTGAAATTTAAGGATGTTGGCCGAAATTGCCATAAATGACCGAAATTATATCTGAAATAATGTTGAACACTTTATTTCAATATCCGAAATTCTGGGTAGTTTTTTTTATGTTTATTATGGATATAAAGAACATTATAAATCCGAAATTGCTTTCCCATTTCGGCTAACAACCTTAAGTTAAATACTAATTTAGTAATAATTGCCTTGACTTAACATATGGCTAGATACTTAGTTGGTCAGTGCTAATTTGAGTCACGGGGCCAGCCCTGCTGTATTCAAAGAAAAATCTTTTTTTTGATTCGCATTAGACAAGGTAGGCAAATCTCACAATATCAAACGACAAATATATTTTACAATTTCATTTCAATAACTCCACTATAAATAAATCTTTACACCTTTGTCACCAGATTTTCGTCTGTTGCTTCAATATAAAACCTACAAGAACCAAATCTATCTATAACACAGATCAAAAAAATCGATAAATTAATCCAATTTGTGCTGCTCGAGAATGTTGAAAATCTGTGGAAGAATTTTAGGCTGTATATAAAGATTTTTTTAAAGTTAATTTGATAAAATAACAACTCTTAAACACCTTACCATTAATCTATCTTTACTTCTATATTTTCCACCTAAACCCCTTGAATTTCATTGTGCCTTTGTAAAAATTACTAAATTTGTGCTAGATTCAACATATATTTCATTTGACTTTAAAGTAATTGAGTAAAAAGTGAAGTAATTCAAAAGTTATTATAGAACTTTTTTTTTACATTTGGTAAAACATTCATTTTTAAAAAAATAACAAATTTAAATCAGCCACTAGGAAAAACAAAAATCAATGCTAATATAAATACCAGTTTCCTCCACTTAATATTCTGGTTAGTAATTCAAGAAGTTTTTGAATAAATAAAACATTTTTATTTAAATTAAATTATTTTTTGTTGTAAAAAACTAGAAGGTACTTTTATAAAAACGTTAATTATATAACAATTACGCTTTGGATGACTATTCCATAGTTATAAATGATGCAAAGGATTATTGGACCAAAAGAAGGTATGTTGTAGAGTTGGTTGGGATGGTGTGTGGTGTTATTGGTCTGTGAACGCGTGAACAATTTAATATTTATATTCGTAATTAGATAAGAATTGTGTAATGGTTTAATGTTATATCCTAGAATGATACATTGGTTGTATAAAATGGCAACATCTTTATTATTTTAATGCTTTTTCCCTCGAATTAGTCATTTTTGATTTACTTTTTCATTGCGATTATTATTAATAGTTTTACGCCAAAATTAATGAAAATCTTTTATTATTATTATTATTATCAATTAAAAACTTTTTTGGTAACGATTGGCATATCATACTCAAAAGTTTTTACTTATTATGGGATTGGACTATATATAACTTTGAGCGGCAAGTATAATTATTTCATAATATTTTTCTGGAATTTCCACACTTGTTACTAGTCTAACCCTACAAATACAAGATCCAGGGTTGAATTATTTTCATAACGAAGCCCTTCAAAGAAATATTAATATATTTGGAAATTATTGTATACAATGTATCAGTATTATTAAGCAAAAATCTGTAACCGCAGGGTCGATCCAAATTAATTTTTAAAAATTGCAGCTAGATAACTACATATTAATATAACATTGATTTCTTACCGGTTATTAAGACTTCATACAACAATCACATCACATTATAGTCTCCCCCATATTTATTATTTGAAAATTAAATCCCTGCAATCTTTCGTCATCCTAATCATTTTTTACCTAATCCTACCTATCATCTTATGTGGTTAATGTATTCGGGCCATATAAAACTTTGACAAAAAATAATTCAAATTGATAGCTTGGAACAAGATACCACATGTAATCGGGTATCTATTTTTAGTTGATTGGTATACCTGCCCATCCCAAATCAAAAGTCATGTGTGTAGTAATCATTTGATGTTAACAGAAAGTTCAAATTGGTCATCACACCAAGAATTTTCGTTAATATTAGAGAATTCCATATATTTTGACTAAAAGGTTTCATTAATTATTTAATAATATTCTATCTTTGATATTTTTTATGAAGTTATATAGTTTTCTTCAAACTTTTTCTTCAAGGTGAAAGACTAATTTTTCACCAATTACTAGTTCGAAATTAATATTTCCTTTATATCTGTATTTTTTTCTTGAAATTAACACGATATCAGGTCCTCTTTCTCGGTTTTTCTTTTTCTTTTTCTTTTATCTTTTTAAAAAATATAATTATTTATAATTATTTTTGCCCAAAGTAATGAATGATTTTTTATTTACCTTAGTATTATCACTACTATCACTTTCATTTCCGAACTGATCGAACCTTTCTCTTGCCTAAATAATTTCTTAAATAAGTAAAATGATGACAATGAAATAATCAAAAAACAAAATTTTCCCTGCATTAGAACTTGGATCCGGATATTAATTTGGATATCTAGATACTTATTATTATTATTATTATTATTATTATTATCCGTTTAAATCATAATAATAGTAATAGCAATTCAGATATCCTATCCATTTTCAAAGATCTTACCGAGATATCCTATTTAACATTCTTTATTCGTTTGTATTAGATAGTTCACGCCATTCTTCTTTGGAAAAAGATTTTGATAAAAATAAGTTTTGATCTGAAGAAAATTTATAACGGACGAACGTCATGTTTCAAAATTCAACATTGATGCAAGGAATGATCGCTTATTTTGTCCTGTCCTGTGTTGAAAATAACTCCTTTCTAACAATACTTATTATTATTTGCTTTTAAGATGTCGTTTCTTTTTAAAAGTTGAGGATCTACGTAGCACAAAAAATGTCCTTAAAAGATATGGGGCGCGGAAAATAGAAAACCAAAAATTCGGTATTTGTATATCATTTCCCTACACAATAATAACCATAAAAAAAAATGATAATCAGGGTTTTGGACATACTAATACTAATAACATTTTCATATATATATTTGTTTCAGTCAGGACTTAAACCTACAGGACACACAATTAAACTTTTAGCAATATCTATAAAATTAAATGTTCCATTAATCCTTCATTTAAGATATACAATTCCTGGTTAAAATAAAATGATGATATTTTAAATATCTGGTAATGGTTTAAAAATTTTTTTTTAAAAATATTCAGTCCAGTTGTGGAAAAAAACATTACTTTCGCCAGTTTCATCATAAATGGTTTGTGCATTATTATACCCAAAAACTACAATGTCATCTATCTATATACATGTTAAAGGTTCAATCATTTAGTTTTCTAAAACCCCAATTAAAGGCATTCCTTAAAAATAAACAAACCTTTTTTAAGAATATTTACAGGTTCTTTTTAAAGTGAATGAATGATTTTGAATTCAGAATTAAAGTGCTACAATTTAGAATATTAGAATAATCTTTCTTTGATAATCTCTGCGAACTAATTATTTTATTGGTTCTCTATGTTAATTGCATTATGTGTATATGTCATACGAATTTTAGTAAATCATTTCTGATTTAAATTTCCCGCGCGATTTTTAAATTACTGTTTCATAATATAAAAAAATGTCTACACGCATCTTTTTTAACAGCATTTTTATTGGTGCACGTTCTGAATTAACTGGTTTAAAAGATTTTTTTTGCTGAACTTAAAAAAAGTTATCAATCTAATTCATATATTAACGAAAAAAAAAAATTTAAAACAATTGTCTTAATTGAATGATAAGGAGAAGGAAGTAAAGAAGGAGAAGGAGGTAAAGAAGGAGAAGGAGGTAAAGAAGGAGAAGGAAGTAAAGAAGAAGAAGGAAGCAATGACAAAACAGAAATATTGTCTGAAGAATAAACAGAACATTTAAAAATATTTATAATAAGAATATAATAATGGATGATGAGTTTATAGTTTCTGACAAACAAAAAGAAATGGATCATGATATAAACCACTATGTAGAAAATTTGCTTTCTAAAAGAATGCTTGAAAGAAAAATTAAATTTTAGTGACATTAAAATTAAAGACGGCTCCTCAATTAATTGCGGCATATAAAAATTGAATTGCGGCTAATTGCGGTTCCCATCTTAAGTGTCGGAGAGCTATTATTAAAAAATTTCAAAGACAAAAAAATATAGCAAAGTTTTAAAAAAATATACGAATTAGCCTTACAGAAAATTGGCAATAGCATTTCATGTCTATTTTT